TTAGACACTTGGTGAACTTCATCATAGACTACACAACACTGTATAGTGTGCTTTCACGAGTGTTGTTCTAGAGTTAGACACTTGGTGAACTTCATCATAGACTACACAACACTGTATAGTGTGCTTTCACGAGTGTTGTTCTAGAGTTAGACACTTGGTGAGCTTCATCATAGACTACACAACACTGTATAGTGTGCTTTCACGCGTGTTGTTCTAGAGTTAGACACTTGGTGAACTTCATCATAGACTACACAACACAGAAACTGATTAGCAAGTTCACTGTGGTAATTCAAAAAACAAATAAAAACACCATACATATTATATACACCCCACCACTATAAGAATATATTTGCTTTTCAGTTTTCCCTTGTCTAGAGTAAATGATGACTGGTGGAATTTCTCGAAACTGGCATAACTTAGTGGTAGGTTATGAATCGAATAAGAGATTGAGTTTCATATTTATATTTACTATATTAAAACAGCTCGTCTGCTGAATAACTAAGAAGAGTATGATGGTGACATAGCTGTAACATATACTTTAAATCCTATTTAAATATATATAGGTTCACTGTGGTAAGTAAAAGACAACTTAGAACGCCGTACACATAATATACAGACCACCACTATAACCAAAACGGGTATTTCTGGGCCCACTGGGATCATACCTCCACTTACAAGGGTTTGTTAATGTAAAACACCTGCCGACAGTCGTCAGAAACATTAACCATTACGAATAAGGAAAAAATGTAGGCGTATCTTACCTAAACATCAGTGAAAACACGACAGACGTGTCCAATTACCATGGGACTGGTTCCTAAAGGGGTTTGTTTTGGGGCATGGTCCCTTTTGGGGTAGTTATATTAGTAACTGGGAATAACAGAGGAACTTGATCGATACACTAGGCCCTTGAACGCCATATCGGATCGCGAGTATTTAATTTGAGTATGTCTAAAATACTGTTGTCCTAATACACTAGAAATATTTGGATATAAGCGCTAAAATGACTTACTAGTTATGCCACAGTTTCGTAATTGCCTGAGAGAGAGGATATATACACTCTTATCGAAGTTAAATTCATATTTTCAACACATCCTTGGCGGCTTAGTCGTGAGCTTGAAGGCTAATATTTACTGTTGGATCCCCGCGGCGAACTCAGCCCAGAGAGCCCATTGTGTAGATGTGGGCTCAACAACAATCTAAAATCGTTTCAATAATTTCAGTAATTTAACAGTTCATTTATTTAATTCTCTGTTTTCGTTAAGTAAATATTTATGATTTATTCTAACTTAGACTAAACGGTTGTTGCTGTTAAGTACAAACCTACGCAATGGGCTATTTATGCTCTGCCCACCACAGGTATCGAAGTTCAGCTTTTAGCGTTATATGCCCTCAGGTTTACCACTGAGCCACGGAGGGGCATTTTGAACAGAGTATTAAAAAACAAATATTATAAAATGTATCTAAAAAAACTATTTCTAGGTCAATGGAGGTCGGATATAATTGTGGAATAATATGTACATGAGCATTTCGAAAAGTTTCGCAATAAATTTCTAGTAGAACTGTGCCTAACGGAATTGTTAAACTGACAAAACAACAGATTTTTATAGATGGTTTTTCTTATTCTCATACAGAAAATTGTTTCAAACCCTTTTTCTTTACCTATCTCAACTTCATGAAACTATATTATTATGTACTTTCAGTTAAGATATACTTTTAGTCTTAAACATACCAATACATATCTGTCAGAGACATCGTTGGCCTAATAACAACAACAACAACAAATTTTAAAAAAATGGCGACTGAAAAAGCACGTGTGCTAGTTTCACATTGACCCACTTTTGGTAGGTCATGTACGAGTTGTTACGTTTTACAATCTTGTTACCACCCATGAACTACTTTCATTGTCATATACGCA